AAGCAGGTGAAAAGGGAGGTGTTGAACTTCATTTAGCCTGTAAATCACTCTCCAATGTTTCCAGATGCATGCATGTTGTAGAGCAGGTGTTGGACTTCAGAAAACAGCTCCACATGACTGCATCAATTTTATTGATCCCCCTTGAGCAGCTGAACATGGCCTAGGAGGGATTATCACCATTTTTGCTTGTAAATCACCTACCAGATTTTATCAGCTAAAAGCAGATGAAAAGGGGGGTGTTGAAATTCATTGTTGTCTCTAAATCACTCTCCTGTGTTTCCAGATGCATATAGACAGTAGATCCGGTGTTGAACTTCAGAAAAGAGCTCCACCTGACTGCATCACTTTTACGAGCCTCCTTGAGCTGTTGAACATGGCCTGGGAGGGGATATCATCATATTGGCTAGTAAACCACCAATCAGAAAATTTGAGCTACAAGCAGGTGAAAAGGAAGTGTTGAAATTAATTCTTACTTGAAAATCACTCTTCAGTGTTTCCAGATGCATGCATAGTGTAGAGAAGGTGTTAAACTCTGGAAAACAGGTCCAACTGACTGCATAAATGTCTTTCAGCCCCATTGAGCTGCTGAACATGGCCTGGGTGAGGATATATTATATTGGCTAGTAAATTAACCACCAGAATCACTGAGCTAAAAGAAGGTGAAAAGGAAGGTGTTGAACTTCATTCTGCCTGTAAATCACACTACATTGTTTCCAGATGCTTACATGTTGTAGAGCACATGTTGGACTTCAGGAAACAGCTCCACCTGTCTGCATCACTTTTAACGAGCCCCCTTGAGCTGCAGAACATGGCCTGGGAGGGGATATCATCATATTGGCTGGTTGATCACCTACTAGAGTTTTTGAGCTACAAGCAGGTGAAAAGGGAGGTGTTGAAATCAACTCTTGCTTGAAAATGACTCTTCAGTGTTTCCAGATGCATGCATAGTATAGAGAAGGTGTTAAACTTTGGAAAACAGCTAGAACTGACTGCATAAATGTCTTTCAGCCCCCTTGAGCTGCTGATCTTGGCCTGGGAGGGGATATTACATTGGCCAGTAAATTACCCATCTGAACCTCTGATCTAAAAGAAGGTGAAAAGGGAGGTGTTGAACTTCATTTTGCCTGTAAATCACTCTCCAAT